TATTATATATATATAAAATGTTAGAAGCCCTGTGCATAAATTCATGCATAGGTAGGGTCCCTTGGCCTGGCCAGCAATCGGGGCCAATCGGGGCCAACTGGCTGGATGGAGGGCCCGCAGGAGGTTGGTTATGGGAACACAGTGACCACCAGGAGGCAGCTCCTGTGTTGAGCATCTGCCCCCTGGTGGTTAGTGTGCATCATAGCGACAAGTTGACTGGTCAGTTGTTCAGTCACTTAGGCTTTTATATATATATATAATTGTGATGTGTTAATTTTTTGCTAAGAATATGGTGCATTCCAATTATTTTGCCACCTGAAGAAGTAGGAGAACCTTTGCTTTAGAATATTAGCTGCTAAGAGGGCAGAGAACATTATTTGTAATAACCTATCAAACCACACTCTTATCACCAGCTAGCAGTTTTTAAAGATCTATATGGTGCATCGCTGTAAAGTCCTGTCTTCACAGTCTACGTGTGAATCTAGACAGTCCTACAATCTAGCATGCTGACCATTCTTTCCCATTCAGACTCTAGCAATTTATCTATTTCTCCCTGTTTTTGTTTGTTTGTTTTTTATTGATTTCAGAGAGGAAGGGAAGAGGGAGAGTGAGATAGAAACATCAATGATGAGACAGAATCATTAATTGGCTGCCTCTTACAGGCCTACACTGGGGGTTGAACCTGTAATCTGGGAATATGCCCTGACCAGGAATCGAACCATGACCTCCTACCTGGTTCATAGGTCAACACTCAACTACTGAGCCATATCGGCTGGGCCTACTTTTCCCTGTTTTAAGCCTCCTTAAACCAATTGGCAAACAAATTTTCTTGTTGAGTAAATTTCTACTTACTACTGTTTTACATTATCCAATTTGTCTCTAGATAATTTACAATAATTTCTGGATCACATTCTAGGACTGTGGACTCAGGATGTAATGTTAATGTCTACATCTACTGTTAAAAAATTTCCAGCCTCCACTGCAGAGAAAAACATAATTAGGTCAGTTAAACCCACTGAAGAAAGTCAATGCAACTGTTCAATTTTCCATTTAGCCTGGATAATTAAAGCTTGGCTTTTGTGTGAAAGTCTCCGACCTTTGGCTGTGTGTGCAGTTGAATCAGACTCTCTACCTAGAGGGAAAAGCATGGAGTTACAGGAAAAAAATAGAGCAGCTATAAAAATTCATGATGATAGCCAGCCTGGTTTGGCTCAGTGGATAGAGTGTAGACCTTCAGACTGAAGGATCCTGCGTTCAATTCCAGTCAAGGGCACATGCCTGGGTTATGGGCTCGATCACCAGTAGGAGTCATGCAGGAGGTAGTTGATCAATGATTCTCATCATTGATGTTTCTTTCTCTCTCTCCCTCTTCCTTCCTCTCTGAAATCAATAAAAAAAATTAAAAAATTAATGATGATTGTACAGAAGTGTCAACGTGCCTAACACCACCAAGCTGTAAAACTTGCCATTTCGACCATTTTTGTTATGTATATTTTACCACAATTTAAAAAAGTAATGAGTGGTATTTAACACCTTACCACAAGGTGTTGAATATAGCAGAAATGAATAACAATTGTTCATAATAATGAATGCTATTATATTTATTTTATAGTATGCCTATTTATACTATTATTGTTATTAATCATGTTAACATTAATAATAATTAATACCTATATAGCACTTGCTCTCTGCCAAGGACTATTCTAAGCACTACATAGAAATGTAGCTTTTGTCACTGTCTCCTCAGAAAATGAAAGCTTTACGCCATCTGTCACATCTGTGGAATCACAGATTCCAGACTTCCCAAAAGCCTCTCAGTCAACAAGGAGAAACAGGTGAGATCAATAGGACAGGTAAAGCCATTACCAAATTTCTTGCCAAAAAAAGCAGGGGAATGTATGAAAGCATCTGTACCTCATTCTTGAGACATTGAGAAGCTATCCTAAATGTAAAATATGAAGGTGCAGATAAATTTGAGAGGCTCAGATGTGGGCTAGTGGGAAAACACAACACAGAACAATCACATCAGCACTCTAACATCTTGTCATTATCCAGATCTACCTGTGTGACTGCCTCCTATCTCAGTTAGTCAGTGTCCCCCACAGGACACACTTTCACCCACTTTCTCCCTCCTCCATTCCCTCTGGTCAGCATGTCCGGTCCTGCCAACCTGAGCAAGCCAGTATGCATCCATCACATTACCAGTAAAGCTCACTTTCAGTCTGGTCTCCACCGTCTATCATTCACAGTTGGCAGATTAGGGACACGTTTTGTATCTGTATGTTTCTCTTAACTCACCGTCAGATCCCCAGGTCCTTCCAGGTAGCTGTTGTTTTTATTCCTTTTGATCTTGCAAATGTACTGGACTTACGGGCATGGTGTGGGGATGAGAGATGGAGAGATATAGTTGGGTACCTCCTCCACAGTGTCAGATTGTGTATCCAGGGAGTAGGGAGAATGGGTGGGTATGTCAGGAAAAGCTTACAGGGACCTGAATCTAAGTAAAAAGCTCTTCCACTTCTCTGGTCTTCATTGACCTTTATCCCAGTCTGGTTCTTTGGGGTTCTGCCAGGATCACCTTAATATTTGCCCACTGTGTTCAAGGTCAGGGTCAAATCACCTTCTCCAAAAGTTTCCACAGGCTGACTGCATCCTACCAGGGTTACTCCTTTGGTTGACTTTTTACCAGGGACTCCTCAGGGAGAAATCTTCCTACAGTCTGTGTTCGCTTCCTGAGCTTGTATTCTTTAGCCAACCAACTAGGCAACAAGTGTTTGAAGAACCAGAGTGGTGTGTTTTACTTATTCTTTTACTTTCTCCCCCACAATGCCCATCACGGTGCTTTGCTGAGCTTGCCCAAATGGTTCTGAACTCAAAAGATAGGGATCATTTAGTTATTCTAAAGATAGTGTCACAAAGTTTGTAATTCCTCTTAACAACTTGAAAAAAAATCCCAGAGAACTGATGCCATGTTTCCTCTGACCGTTTGTATCTGTGATACACTCATGGCCTCTCTTTCACCACTCTCATCCCCGGTGATGAATAATGTCAGGTTGTATCTGTTTGTTTCTTTTTCCAAGTCATGAGTCCACCGTGAGTCACCAATTTCTTTCCCATAGCAACCAGTTATTACATAACAGAGAGTGGAGTAGGTTATGTCAGTGAGATGCTCCAGGTTGTAATTTCATCTAAATGACTTCAAAGAGAGGAATAAAAATACATGGCTTTATTTCAAAATTAAAGCGGTTTTAACATTTCTACACAAATCAGGTATATCCCAAACATTTTATTGATCTCCAAAGTAATTTTCATATCAATGAATAGTTCCTATTAATATTCATGTCCACCTGCCTGGGGCGGATTAATCATAATTGTTATGACTATCATTTCCATTTTATGGAACAGAAACCAGTCTTGGAGTCTGAGCATCTGGTTTCCAGTTTCACCTCTGACTCGAACTAGCAATGGCCCCAGGCAGGGGGTGGAAGCGTCACAGCCTTTTCTTTTTATGAGGTGGGTAATGAAGCTGGATCCCTGCTCCATTCTCATCTCTCCTTTCTCTGCTGCTCCGCATGATTTCCTTGCTTCTATGTATTATATTATACCTCTGTAGATAAGAAGAGATCCCACCCCTTTCTATAGAAGAAGGGCCTATTGCAAAGTGCAAATTCAGACTCATTATTAAAAAATTATTAAGAACTTCAACAGAGTGACCACAGAGCATTACATTGGCCAGAGGCCAGGACTGACAGGAATAGCTGCATTGGGCCAGTGGGTACCAGCTGTCCCTTACGTGAGCCTTTGTTTGAGGCAGTGCCATGTAAACATCAGCTGGAATGAAGCCAAAGTTCCAAGTTCTGTGTCTAGTGACCCCGGATGCTGCACATCCATATTGTGCCATCAGCTCAAGGGAAAGTAGGTCAGATTCACAAGGCCAACGGGACTGCTGAGAATATGCTTGAGTTTTCCTAGTGGCGGGGGACAGGGGAGAGTCAGAAAACCACTGTCATGTGGGTATGACGGGGCATTTAAAGCGTTCTTCGTTCACATGATAAGATTGCTTTCCTCTCCACTGACAAGAAAGTCAACATTAAAAAATCTTATTTGTTTCCTTTATTCTTAAATCATAGTGTGTGTGTTTTAAAATATATTTCTTATTGATATCAGAGAAGAATGGAGAGGAAGGGAGAGAGAGAAACATCAATGTTGAGAAAGAATCATTGATTGGCTGCCTCCTGTATGCCCCACACTGGGGATCTAGCTCACAACCCAAGCATGTGCCCTTGATGGGGAATCTAGCCATGACGTCCTGGTTCATAGGTCAATGTTCAACAACTGAGCCATGCTGGCTGGGCCAGTGTGTGTGTGTGTGTGTGTGTGTGTGTGTGTGTGTGTGTGTGTTTAAAATATATTTTTATTGAGTTTTTACAGAGAGGAAGAGAGAGTTAGAAACATTGATGAGAGAGAAACATCAATCAGCTGCCTCTTGCACACCCCCTACTGGGGATGTGCCCACAACCAAAGTACATGCCCTTGACTGGAATCGAACCAGGGACCTTTCAGTCCACTGGCCAATGAATGCTCTATCCACTGAGCTAAACCGGTTTCAGCTATTGTGTGTATGTTTTTAAAGAAAAATGTAGAAGTGACAGCTACCCAGGTATGGTTTTAAAAATTAATATCTCTTTTATTAATATGTTCAGGGTTTAAAAGAACTATAGTGAAGCATGTTAACTACTTGAATAGAATATTACTTTACAGAGCATATTTAATCAATGTGAAAGATAAGCCATTTTCTTGTTGGTTCTTGATATTTTCCAATTAATGCAAAAATAACAGCTATCATCTCAATTAATGGTAGCCAGGAGTTACATTATAAAAATTTCACATATAAAATTTTATTCTCTAATAGAGAATTTAACATGGCTATAAAATACATGGCCCACTCTAAGTGGCTTGATATGTTTAAGAGTCCTTTCTGTCTCTTTGAATATTCAATTCTAGTAAACATCACAGCCGAAGAGCTCCAGGCGAAGGGCAATACTTTGATTCCACATTTTTGGGATGATACGGATAAACCTGGAGATGATTGGAGGGTTGAAAAAGTTCTTCACATGCCCATTGATATTACTATTTCCTTCAAAAACCTGAAAGCAAAAAATGAGAAAATCCTTAACGCTAGTATAATGAGTATACACATCTTACAGTTCATTTTAAAATTATTTTTGTTCAAACCAAAGGCATCCAAGAACACAGACAACCCTCAATGAAATCCCACTCCAGACAGGCCTCATTAGGAATTCCGCTCTCCAGGGATCTGAGCTGACATAGGGGAAGATAAAACATTTGATGGGTGTATGGGGCAGCTACAAGCCCAGCTCTGCCCTCAGACCCTTTCCCGCTGAGTGACTCGGAGCCAGTTAAGTTTTCTGATTCTCGATTCCTCATTGACAAAATGGGGATAATAAAATTTTATCTTATAGAAGTTGTTAGAATTAACAAAAGTCTATAAACATACAAGTGCCTAGTAAGGGACAGATAGTGGCTCTTATTAATAGTTAATATTTAAAATAAAATACAGCCATGTGACTATAGTCCTCCTTGTTGGATATACCCTATAGTTCCTGCTAAACTGTGTCCTTGCTTCGTTTTTTTATTTTTTTTTTATTTTACTTTTTTATTTTGCTTGTTTTTTGCATCCCTAGCAAGTTCCCTGTGATTCACACACAGCAGAAGCTGAACTACGATTTGTTTCTTACAATGATGCTTATCCTGCTAGGAGGACAGTGAGAAATAAACCAAACCAAACCAAAGAAACAACCAACCCAGGGGCTGGTTATCTTATGGCCATGGGTGTGTGATCAACATGAATAACAAGCATCTCCAAGGAAACGCTAATGTAGTGGTAGGTTTTCTGGACCCCTCTATGGACTGAATGTTTGTGTCCTCCCAAAATTCACATATAAACTTTGATACTTTATATCAAACTGGAAGCCCAGTGCACGAAATTGTGCACTCAAGGTGGGCAGCGTCCCTCAGCTCAGCCTGCACCCTTTTGCAGTCTAGGACCCCTCAGGGGATGTCTGACTGACAGCTTAGGCCTGCTCGCTGTGGAGAGTAAGCTGGCAGTCAGACATCTTTAGCACTGCCGCGGAGGAGGGAGAGGTTCCCGCCAACACCACTGCGCTCACCAGTCATGAGCCTGGCTCAGGGCTGCTGGCTGAGTGGCACTCCCCCTGTAGGAGCACACTGACCACCAGGGGGCAGCTTCTGTACTGAGCATCTGTCCCCTGGTGGTCATTCTGTCATTCGGTAGATTTGCATATTACCCTTTTATTACATAGGGTAAATGGGATGATATTAGGAGGTGGGGGCTTTGGGAGGTCACTAGGATTAAATTAAATGGAATTAATACACACAATGAAGCGGGGAGGAGGCCTGGGAGCTCTCTCTGCGTGGGTTCAACAAGGAAGGCTATGTGAGGACATAACAAGAAGAGGGTCTTACCAGAACCCCACAGGGCCCAAACCCTGACTGGGACCCCGCCTCCAGGAGTGTGGGAAGTAAGTGTTTAAATCAACAGCAGCCCCCGCTCCATCTCTCTGCATCAGAGGAAAGGATGTTTCACCCCAGGCCCCGGAGCTTTGTTCTCACTGCTCCACAGGTGGCTCCGTCAACGCAGAGAGGCGATGTGCATGGCCTCAGGCAGAGCCAGGGTTTAGAGCGGGCCATGCCAGCTCATGTTTGTCCAATGCAAAGAGCTATTTGCAAATGCTCATTCTCATCACAGCAGTTTTCTAACGGCTCCCTTTCTGCCCGGACACGCCCTGTACCTTGTCCACCATGGAGAATTTCTGCCGGTAAGGTTTCCAGTCCACTCCCTGGTCACTGTAGTGGACGGTGTAGCTCTTCACGTACATCTCAGAGGACAGGGACTTGCAGCCCTGGGTAACGATCGCAGTGATCTTCTTCATTTTGAGCAGATCGATTTGTAACCACTGTTGGTTGTTGTTTGCCTGTGAACAGAAGGAGAACACATGAGTAAGACAGATGCCAAGCCTTTGTTTTTTCAGACCAAGTTCCTCAGAAATGCCAGAGCTCCACGCGTTTCTTTTCTGTCTCATCCCTCGTCCCGACGCCCTGTCTCCTTGCCTTCCCTGTTCCTTTGTTTGTGGCTACAGCATGCGTGCTAACTTCTTCCGGAGCTGTTCACGCAGATGCAGTCATGATCTGGGTTCATCTTTGTATCCCTTCATCTTTGAGGACAGGGACTGATGAGTTTTGTTTCTAGGCACTTACCACAGAGCAGGGCAACTCGGTTGGTGTTCATCAAATATTTGTTAAATAAACAAGTAAATGAAATTGAATTGGGAAAAATATTAAACCGATAAATTAGCTTTAAGTGTTATTCTGGTAAGCAAGTTGGTTTAAATGCTATGATGATGTTACTGAATACTGAAGGGCTATCTGAATACTGAAGGGCCACCTGGGAAAGAACAGAATAGCATCTTGTATTTATTTTAGAAAAGCCCACTTTCCTTTCCTTGCTAATGGCCAATAGGAGACATAGTGCAATTTCTTCTTTTCAGATATTTCACATACATAAAGTATTTGAGTGACTTGATAAAGCTACACACAGGGCTTGGTGTGCACAGTAACTGTCCTGCCTCTGGCCAAATGACATGCCTGGTTACAGGCTTGGGGTTATGCATGTGGAGGAGGAGGACCAGAGGACAGAGAGATTTTTAGAGTAATCTGAGATAAATTTTCAATTCTGGGAGATTTATCAAGCCCCATAGTCTCATTCAGTTCTATATGAAATAATGAAATCATGAATATTGATCTATTTGTCTCAACATCACTCATATGTGCATGATTGCATGCACATATGTATACACATACATATGTATATAGTCATATACTTTATGTATCTTTAGAGAAAATTAATGGATTATAAGTATTGTATTGGATAATTTTTATTAATTCTATTATACCCTTTAGTGGCATTTGGTGATATCATAGTGTGTCTTCAAACCAAGGTGGTACTTGTGATGCAGAATATAGGTAACTAGAAGGGTTTTCTAGGTATAGAATAGGTAGAGGCCCTTTCAGCTGCATGCGTGCCTACAATGTCTAACTTAGATTTTAATCCTCTCTAAAGAGGCCCTATAAACACATTTCATGCTAATAAGTCAAGTGAAACAAATAATTGTGACCTAGAATTCCAAATTTAAAATGACAGCATTAAAAATTAAAATTAGCATTTCCTCTTTGGAACCTTTACTATTTCACAAAGACTAAGAGCAAATTGTATTTGGAGGAAGTTTTTTTTTAAAGTCTGTACCATGGATGGGGGGAGATAAGGTTGTGCCATAAACAGATCTAAAGGGTCATCTGGGAAACACCTTTCTTCCTCTCTCCTTAACCTTTTACTCTTACTTTTATGATCTTTAAAAATTATATAAATAAAATGTAATGTGACATTATTAACTTTATTATTTTACTAGAGGCCTGGTACATGGAGTTCAGGGCAAGGCAACGCCCCATTACACCTCTGCTGCCGCCATTGCTGGCAGTGCAAGCCTTGGGCAGCCCTGGTTACCTGAGCCTCAAACAGCCCATCTAAGACTTGCCTGTGCTTCGTCTGGCCCTGGGCGACTGGGCAGTCATCATCTGAGGCTCCCCTGAGCCTCGTGCCAGCCCTGGGCAGCTGGGCAGCTGCCATCTGAGGCTTGCCTGTCCAGGGAATTGCAGTATGGGTACCTTTAGGGAGGGAGTTAGGAAGAGAGGAAATAGGGAACTTGGATTAAATTGGTTGATGGGATTGTTCTAATTTTTGATGTCATTCTGATGTATCACGTCAGTTGAAGAGTGCAATAAAAGTGAGTCAGTTTATTAAGTTACCCTAAAACTGTCACCTGACTTACTGTGTGGGTAATATCAGGGGCAATATAAAAGCTGTTTCTCCGACTCAGATCACTGTTTTACATCGCTGGTTTTGCAGCATTTTACTATGTGGCAAATTGTCTAAAGCAAGCATTTCAAATGTGGCTGTGAGTTTGATATGCTTGATCTAAAGGCACGTCACAAAGTTCTCAAAAAAATTCGGACAAAAAAATTTTAATGGCACTCCTAAGAAAATGAAAAATATTGCTAAATTGGGGCATGGTTGGGGGAAGGAAGAGAAGATATTGAAAATCTAAATCACTTACTGCTAATGTAAGTTGTCTCAAAGAGGACTTGCAAATTACAGACCAAGGCCAAATCTGACCCACCCCTGATTTTGTAAATAAAGTTTTATTGGAACACAGCCAAGATAATGTTTATGATTGCTTTCCTGCTTCAATGAGAGATGAGTAGTTTTGACAGGAAATGGATGGCTCACAAAGCCCAAAATATGTATTACCTGGCCTTTGCCCACCCCTGGTCTAAATTAAGATTAGACAAACTGCATAGCTGATGAATAACTTCCCTGTGAGTCAGCGTTAGAGGAAAGCTATTGAGTCAACAGGCACGCTAGTCCTCAGGCCCAGGATCACGACCTGCAGAAACAAGGGGTGCTGTCTGGCTTCCCAGGCCCCATGCTCCTTTGATTTCTTCTGGAAGCTGAGAGAACTGTGTTAACAGGGATATTCACCTTGGCTTGCCAGGCATTCACACGGCCCTGGGCATTCAGGCGGGCATGGAATGGTTCCCAGGATTGTCCCCACCAGGACGTTTTAAAGGAGGAGGCTGTGATTTGCGTGTTTTCTATCTTCCCACTTTCCATACCCAGTGGGGTGGAGCATCCTGTTGAGAGAAAAGTAATGGGATTAGTCCGCACCACCAGCACTCCCTGTACCCCATTTTGTGTGCCAAGGAGAGAAGGAATACTGTTCCTCAGAGCACCAACAAAAGCAACCATCACAGCAATCAGCCCTATGGATGAACAGAGCTCCCTGTCCCATTTTAGGGACTCAGCTTGACTCTACGAGCTGATCAAACTACCGCTTCCGTCAGACACCCTCTGGGAGGAAAACATGGTTTATGGAGCTGTTCTGAGGAGTGCCACTGCCTGTACGAAAGCTGTAGTTCATGGGAGATGGATGGTACAGGCCCTGCTATCTGGGCACTGGCACAATGCCCATATTCACCTCCCTCGTGAATATCAGAGTATAGGTAACATTGCCTGCCTGGGTAAGAAACTGATTCCAAGGTTCAGCTACATTCGCCACCACGAGGGTAGCTCTTCTCTCTGCTCTGAGGGAAAGCGCTGCGGTTTCCCCACAGGCATGCCACAGCGCATTTCCTGGGTGCCCATATACTAGGCTCTCCCACCCCTTAGTCGTGAGCAGCCAGGAGGAGTCTGGGTCAGCCAAGCTCTGGGTCAGCTATTTATTCTGTTACCCCAGGCCAAGTCAGGTATTGCTTTCTGTATGTGTTTTGCTGTGAACAATTTTGGAAAGCACCGCGTGAAGAGTCAGAGAAGGAGAATAGTTATTATGACCCTCAAACATCATTGTTCTACAATGTAGAATCCACATGGTAGAATTTTATTATGGTTCCCTACATCTCTCTGTACCACAGGTCACATTACATCCCCCCAAAACAGCAGCTTAACATAGAAAAGGCGAGGGTATCTCATGGGATGTGAAATGACACGGCCTAGTCAAGGTTTCAGGAAGCTGGGAAGCAGACTTAGATCGCAAAACCACTCATTGGACTCTGATGCATGCCGGGAACATGGCTAGATACCGTTACCACATGAGTGTCCTCGAGGACTTCGGAAGAGCCAGGCTTCATTTGAATCTCAGTTCTGTGGGAAATGGGCTGCAGAGGTCATTCTCACGTGGGACCCTCCCTCGAGGTCAGGTGCTGCTCACTGAGACGGCCCCGCCCCCTGGCTGGAGAACCTGTTCCCTCTGAGTGACCATGAGCTTTACCTGAGTGTAACCTCTGTTTCCCAAACGTTGTTTCAGAAGCCTACATGACGAAGAGAACTGAAAGTCCTTCACCTTCTCCCGCACCTCCCACCTGGACTCTGAGCGGCGGGGAAACAGTCACGCGTCTCGGCTCCTCACCGTTAACCTCGCAGCCTTGCAGCTCCAGGCGCAGGGCAGGCCTGTGGTAGAATCTGGTTGGGTAGACCCTGATGTATCTTGCCACAATTGGCGGGTCAAACCGATTTTCTTTGACTGAAGAGGCATCTGAGTTGCCATCAAAATACTAGAGGAAAAGAGACAAGCTTAGTCATGCAAACATTCTCTGTAAAGTGATTTTATAGTAAAATTTTGGTGTAAGTTAATATTGTGACATTGTTTTCATGTGGCCAGACCTAAATCAATATGGTCTTTAAAATATTTAAGGATACTTCCACTTTAGGAATATGGTATAGGTGTACCTTTCCCCATTCCTCCTGTTAAGTACAACTCTGGGTCAGCTATTTGTTCTGTTACCCCAGGCCAAGTCAGGTATTGCTTTCTGTATGTGTTTTGCTGTGAACACAGGGGGAGAGAGGGAAGACTGGCTAGGATTCTCGGACCCTAAGAACAGCATGGCCATGGGCTCCCTGGGTTTCCTTTTGCCCCACAGCCCCAGACTTGGAAGAGAAGGAGCCAGCAACCAGGAAACACCACAGAGCACAGACATGAACAGGCCCACCACAGCCCTGCTTTCTCCAGCCTCAGCACCTAGAGAGGGCAGCCCAGCAGTCAAAGCTCTTTTAGACAATCACTGCCCTCCGGCCAGCTCAGCTCCACGGAAACAACCATGGCCTCTCCTCATCCAACAGCAGCGAGGGCAAGGGCAGAACCTTGACCTCCACGACGTGAGCTGTGATGAGGCACCTTGCGCTCTTATGGGGTGTGTCGGAGGCCAGGTGGGGGCCCAGCTCCTCTCAGGGCACCCACGGCTGCAGTGTCCATGGAGAACATCTCATCCCACCAGCTGCAAAGAGGAGGAGTCCCTGTCAGGTGGGCAGCCTGGGCTGGAGCCCCTGGCAGTCGGAGGTTGTGCCCCATCCGCTTCCCCTGCCAGAGAGGCATCAGAGATATGCAGCCGAAACAGAGATAGGGGCAGACCAAGCAACTAAGTAAGCAAGACAGAAAACAGAAATACGGTAGGTAAGGGTAATGAAGCAAAGGGCTAGTTCTTTGAAAAGATGTTTAAAGAAAAAAAAAAAAAAAAAGGCAAATCTCTAACAAGACTAACCAAGCGGAAGGAGAAGAGATGAATGACCAGCACCAGACATGAGCGGGCAGTCTCACCACTGACCTGGCAGACCTCAGGAGGGGGATAAGGGACGTAAGCACAACTCCAGACATGAATCTAGCAACTTAGAGGAGATGGAGCCACTCCTTGAAAAAACACTACTCCAACGCACCCAGTATAAGAGAGATAATTTGAAAAGCCCGTAACTGCTGAAGAAATTTAATTTGTAATCTTAAAACTTCTGGAAGAGAAATCCCCAGGCCCACATGGTTTCATTGGTGAATTCTGCCAAACGCTTAAGGAACTAACACCAATTCTAGACAATCTTTTCCACGAAATAGGAAAGAAGAGCACGCTTCCCGATTTAGCTTGTGAAGCTAGTATTACTCTGATACCAAAACCAGAAAAGACAGTACAAAAAATAAAACTAGCTAAAACCGGTTTGGCTCAGTGGATAGAGTGTTGGCCTGCGGACTGAAAGATCCCAGGTTCATTCCCGTCAAGAGCATGTACCTTGGTTGCGGGCATATCCCCAGTATGGGGTGTGCAAGAGGCAACTGATTGATGATTCTCTCTCATCAATGTTTCTAACTCTCTATCCCTCTTTCTTCCTCTCTGTAAAAAAATCAATAAAATATATTAAAAAAATAAAAAAACAAAACTACTACATACCAATATCCCTCATGAATCTAGATGTAAAATGCTTTAAACTAGAGACTCTCACTGAATTCTATGTTCTCTTCCTGATACTGATTAGTAAAAACCATCGTTTAGGATTTTTCTTATCTATCCAAGAAATAGTTAAGTGATACTATAGAAAGTTAGTTATAGAGAATATAGAAAATTAGAAAAAATTAGTAACATCAGAACATTAGTAACATCAGAACCTGATGGCATATTTTTAGCGTGATCCCCTTAAGGCACCAGATCAGATAAATACTCTACGGTGCCGTACACCATCTGCCAATCTGAAAAGTCTAGTATTTCGTTTGATGATAAAGTGAGTTTTAAAAAGTCCTGTGGAGTTTTGAAGTTTCAGAAGTCAGGATTATCTCTTTAATTTGTAATATACAGATCCATCATTTCCCCACTTTCCTTCCTTAGGCTCTAAGGAAGCCCTTCGTGTTTCTAATGCCAAGAAAAGTACTTTTACAAAAGTGAAGAGTCATGGTCCCAGTCACAGGGACCATCGGGTGAGTGTGAAGACTCTGAAGGAGATGTGCACACAGACCATTACGTTCCTGGTGCTGTTCCCCTTGAAGACCTGCCAGTTGGTCTGGTCGGAGCTGTAGGCCATGCGGAACTGAGTGGTGTAGTAGGACTTCAGGTAGTGCTTGGCTCCTTGGGACTGGATGCCTGTGAACAGGACTTCCCTTTGCATGTCCACCTGCAACAGAGCAAAGCCACTGAGCAGAACTGTCCTTGTCCACGATTCACACGTCACCTCAATTCACTGAGCATCCAGCCAGCTTTCTTCAGAACCAAAGAGCCAATACCCCGAGTTTTACTTAGCAAACTAATCAAAGGCAGTCTGTATTTGAGCTCAGAGGACTTAAATCCCTGCTCAGCCACTAAGAAGCTGTGCACGACACTGGGAAGTTAGTTAACCCCTCTGTGTCTCCGTATTTTCACCTGTAAAATGGGATGGTACTAGAACCAACCACATAGGGTTCATTTTGAGGATGTTATCTATTTAGAATATTACCTGGCACCTAGTCATTGCTATTTCCCCTAACAACATTGCAAAGGAACAACAAGAAGTTATTAAGTCAGTGTCACTTTTATTATTACAACCAGAGGCCCAGTGCACAAAATTTGCACTAGACCTGGCCAATAAGGGCCTTCCTTCATTCTGCGCTGCCCTCTGGTGGTCAGTGCACATTATAGCGAGCTATGAAACTCTTGGTCTCCCAGTTGAATTCCTGAGGGGACAATTTGCATGCTAGGCTTTTAGATATATAGATAACAGTAAATATTATCAGATAAATGTCATACCTGGATCCAAGGTTTAAAGTCAAATTCTGAATTTTTTTCTGTCATCCATGCATTATATGATCCACCATTGTTTAATCTTGCTAATTTGGGCTCCCAATAACCTAAATCCAAAGGAAGAAAAAAAATGTATTCTGAATTTAAAAAAACACACACACATACACACTTAGAAATTTCTCAAGTGAGTTCAGTCCCAGTGGAAAATCAGATCCTGAAGGACCTTCTTGGGCAGTTAGAAGACCAGGCAGGTGGCACAGGCTCAATTCCTGACTTAGCTCAGGGTGACAAAAGCTTGGCTTCAGGTCTGAGCTTGGTCAGCTGTCACCTTCCACCTACCCCCTTTCCTGAATACAGGTCATGTGTCTCAATTATGTAAATTACTGTGGCCGATGCTGAGTGTGCCTGCTTACCAGGAAGACATGGGAGGGACTTATGGGAGCCTCATGGACCCTTGCAATTGACCCCTTGATCTTGGGAAGGGCTCTGAGCAGTGAGGACAGTTAGGAGGTGTTCCTGACACACAGTGGAGGATCAACAAAGTTTCTTGAATCGATGAGTGGTGGGCACAGCAAAGGGCCCTATTCATGAGGACTCTAACATGTGCCCGAAGAGGCCTGGTGAACCTGGCTGGAATAGCATGTGTGATCCACGCCAGAATGGAATGAATGGACAAGAGTCTTAGAAAAGGGCACGTGGTCGTACGAGCAAGCTGTGCCCTCTTGCCCAGTCTGCTGAGAGGTCAGCCTGCCTGTGGAGCGGGCCACGCTCTTGGCCTTTCCTGGGAGAGACTCTTTGGGAACATCGTACACCAGAGGGGGTGGCGGCGATAAGGGGGTGCCAACAGGCTTTAGCTCCTGCCACGGCGCTCCTACCTTTACCGAGAAGCACCCCAAAGGGAGCTGCTGTGCTGTGCTGGGGTAGAGGAAAGCCCGAGAGGAGCAATGCCCCAATGCTCCAGGCCCGGCTGGCCTGCGTGGCTGTGCAGTCCGCATCCTGCACAATGGGGGGAGGCGCCTCTCACAGGCCACGCCGTGCTGCTTACCCAGAAACTCCGACGCCTTGATCTGCGTATCAGCTATCATGCCTGTGCTTAGGCCCAGTGGCATCTTACATTCTACAAAAAACCAGGACAATGAATAACATTTGCTGAGAAGATATACATTTAACAACGTATACAGCTGGAGATTATACCTGTGGTGGGTCAGTAATTAGACACCGTTACCAACCATGCATAGCACTGACTGAGATGCACCCGATCCTACACACAGTGGGGGATCAACAAAGTTTCTTGTAAGTGCTCTAACAAGTCTGGTACTTTAGTAGAAACAGTGACCCCCCATCCAAAAATAACCGAAATCCTGAAATGCAATTTGTTTTTAAACCAATTTCCATCTGCATATATGTTAAAATAAACCACTTTACAACACTAAGTCCTAACCTCACAGGGTTATTTAGATCCTGATTGCGTTCCTGGGAAGGAATACCACCTAAGGCCGTGGTCGGCAAACCGCGGTTCGCAAGCCACATGCGGCTCTTTGGCCCCTTAAGTGTGGCTCTTCCACAGAATACCACGGCCTGGGCGAGTCCATTTTGAAGAAGTGGAGTTAGAAGAAGTTTAAGTTAAAAAAATTTGGCTCTCCAAAGAAATTTCAATCGTTGTGCTGTTGATATTTGACTCTGTGAACGAATGAGTTTGCCGATCACTGACCAAGGGGAACGCCAACCACTGAGCTATCTGGATGTTGCCCTCATCCTTGGTACTCAGCGGGTGCTTGATCCATGCTGGCTGACTGGCCAGACAGACAGATGGGAATTTGTCCTAGGATGCCAAGTCCAGGGACTCCCTTGGGAACTGTTGAGCTCCTTGTATCCTTTCCTCCTCAGGGCGAGGAGCCCCGGGGATTTCTTACATGCACTTGCCAGGGGTCACACACCATGAAGGAGGATGCTGTATGTTGGCTCCCATATGTTTGGTTTAAGTTTCCTGGATGACTGATGTGTGTGGTACAATCAGACCGTGGCCAGAGCGAAAGCACTGGTGCCATAGATAGATCGTGCCTTTGTCTTATCAGAGCTCCAAGTTGAATATTTCCTGTCTGAACGTCAGCAATGTTCTAGCAACAGCACTCTCCTGCTTACAGGGTCCTGAGGCTCTTGGCGGATACCTCTGTCTACGATGAGAAATGGCGTTTGCATCCCTGCTCTCTGGTTCTCTCCGACCTCCGTGTCTAGGAGCCACCAGCCAGGTTTGGATGCCTTCATTTCAAGAGTTTTAAATGAACCTAAAACAGAGAGTGAAGGACAGCATTACATACTCAAAGATTGACAGCACCAATCAAAGGATCCTAATATATCTGCATCCCAGGGAGCTTTAGGATAGAACTTAAGAGTTGTCCATTCATTTCTAAGCAGGACTAGAAGTGTAATAAACAGGTCAAAACAACACACACACACACACACACACACACACACACACACACACACAAATAAATCATCCAGAACTTAAAAAATCTCCATCATCCCTTACTAGAAAGAAGCTTCCATTTAGCTGAACAGAATGTTATGAGTTAACCTGCACACCACACAGCTTCACGGTCCTAAGGATCAGAATGACCTTAAGTGACCCAACACTGAGCCCCAAACACTTGCCCATCTTTCCTTTCCCTCTTTTTTCATATGAGAAAATTAAAATAAAACATCTCCACATTTCAGATGTTCAATAAAGTTTACATACATGGGTGGAGCATGCATAACCTGCTTCAGAATACCACGGGAAGATGAGTTTCTGAAACCTCTGCTTATCCACGCTCGCAGTGGCTATTACCTACTGCCAGTTAGTGCTTCAGTCTTGCCAGCTGCCACTGTGAGCATTTCCCACTGGTGAGTGAAAATGAAAAGCTGATGGTCACCCCCATCAAATCCTGAAAAGATGTCCAGCCTTCCCCTCTGGCAGGAGATACTGAGGCTTGAGATGCAGACGGCAGCCCGCCCCAGCTTCTCAGGGCTTCTCCTGGGCGGCCGGCTGGCCTGGTCTCCCGGTCACGGTAACGAGTGTGTTTGGCTCAGCCCCTCTGGCCCTGCTCTCAATGGAATGGGCTTCATTAGTGAGTCACAGGCACATTAAAAGCAAACAAGAACTCTCCCTTTCCAGACAGGTAGCCAAAACAGGCCCATGGGGACGTCTGTGCTTCCCGGAGGCTGACTCACAGGGCAGCTCCCCCAAGAGTCCTGCCCGGACATCCCCCGAGCTCCCCAGCAGCGTGCAGACATCTCTTCCACCCCGGCCCTTAGCCGGCTTCCTGGATTCCCTGTGCCCACCACAGCTGAGAACCAGTGGCACCAGCCCTCTCTCTCTCTCTCACACACACACACCCCTACACACACCTACACATATACCTACACACATACCTATACACATACACACACTTACACACACCCACCTACACACACACACACACACACACACACACCCCTACACACACCCCTACACAAACCTACACATACATATCTACACACACACACACCTGCACACTCACACACACATACACACACACCTACACACATACATGCTTACGCACACACCTACAACATACACACACACACACACACCCCTACAAACAACACATTGGCACATAAGAATCCCTTTAGGTGACTAGTTTGTTTTAACCTTATTATTCTGCACACAGAGGGCTCTAAATACCCCCTTATTCTTT